AGAGAGAGAGAGAGAGAGAGAGAGAGAGAGAGAGAGAGAGAGAGAGAGAGAGAGAGAGAGAGAGAGCAATGTCCCTTCAACAGACGTTGTTAGAGACTCATAAAATGACCCTCGAAAGAAAATTTGAATCTCGTCCAACAAAGAAAAGAAATCTCGAGTTTAACTCAATGGCAGTTCAGGTTTCAATTTCGCAGATTCTCTTATCATTCCCCGGAAGAAAAAAAAAACTCCCTCCTCTTACCTCCCACCAATCCTGTGACCTATGTGATTGAATATTGTTCGCGGGCTCCCTTTCCCATCCGTGTCGCAGTCCACCTCCCTCTCCCTCTGATCACATCGAGTAGCAGGGTACATTTCTACTTCGGTTCGACTCGTGCCTAATTAACAGGTAGCGCGGCAAAGCAATGGCAGAAGCGATGATGGCGGAAGCCATGGCGACGGAAGCCGTGGCGACGGAAGCCGTGGCGGCGGAAGCGATGATGGCGGAAGCAAATGCTGGCGGAAGCTATGGCTTCGGAAGCAATGATGGCGGAAGCGATGATGGCGGAAGCGATGATGGCGGAAGCGATGGCGAAATCGATGATGGAGAAAAGCGATAGCGGAAGCTAGGCGGAGACAAGGAGCAAACCAACTTCCAGCGCGAGATGACAAGCAGAGGGAAAAGTTGGGGAAAAAAAAAGAGAGAGAGAGACAGAGAGACTGGGAGAGAGAGAGAGAGAGGGAGAAGCCAAGGAAAGGAAAGGAAAGGAAGAGAACTGAAAAGGGGGACAAGGAGAAGAATTGAATTCTTATAGAGACGGGGGGGTAGGGCGCGGGGGGGGGAACGAAAGTTCTAAGCCTCCCATCTCAGCCCCAACTTGGGACAGTCCCACATTCCCCCCTCTTATCCCACAAAGGCATTGGGTGGGGTGGGATGGAGGGGAGGAGGGAGATTAGTCTACAGAACAGGTGCTTCAGAATTCCATAGTTATCAAACATGTTTATCAAGCTTTCTGGTGTTCTGCCCAAACAAAAACAAAAAAAAGACGAAAGTTCTAAGTCCTAGATGGCTTCTTCTTCTCCCATACATTTCTCGGAAATTTAAAAATTAAAAAAAACAAAATCAACACCCTGTTTGTCTCCTCTCTCGTTCGGCTTCCTCATCAATCCAAACTGATAATATCATCTACGACCATCATCTCTGCCTACGGTAGCATGCATCTAGGCGACGATGCTGACCGCACGCATGCCTCAACTAGACAACCACACTGACCACATGCATGCCTCCATCTAGATGCCCGCGTCACTGGTCATTTACTTCCGCAAGGAAAAGAGGAGTTCGATGCAACTAGCATGGAAGAGGGTGGGGGGGGAAAGAGGGGCAGGAGGAAGAAGAAGAAGAAGAACAGGAGGAGAATCCAATTTTCACGAGCAGGAGGATGAACTTGTCCATTGCAGTGAGAGAGTGAACCTCATTTTCAAACGTCACACCCTTGTACTTTCCCCCTCCCACTCCCATTCTCCACTCTCCCATCGACCGCAGCCCCCCTGCTCCTCCTCCTTCTCCTCCTCCTCCTCCTCCTCCTCCCCCGTCTCCTCTTCTTGTCTGCTTCTGTTCACATCTCCCATCTCTACCTTCCAACATTTGTAACTCCGCAGCTCACCGCCGCCTTCGCTGACTCTTCAGTTCGTCATCGTCATCCCCCCCCCGCCTTTTCTCCTCTCCCTTCGCAATCCCCATTCCCCTTTCCCTCCTCCTCCCTTTCTCCCCCTTTCCCCTTCCCCTTCCCCTTCCCCTCCCCCTCCCCTTCCCCCTCTCCCCCCTTCCATCCGCGATTGGTTGTCATCAATTTGCTATCAGGCACAACGAAGGGCCTCGCCGCACCACGCACGCACGAAACCTGAAAATTGGGAAATGGTGAGCGTATCTTCGCACAGAAGGTGGCACGGTGCATTCATCACTGTTTGTAAAATGCATCTTGCCACCTTTTATGTTAAAATGCACTCGCCATTTTTCACTTCACTTGCGTAGTGCGGCGTGGCCCAAAATACTCAAGAGGGAGGCGGGAGGAAAAGAACGGCGACGTGGGCGAAGGAGGTGTGAGGGAGGAGGTGGAAGCCAGCAAGGGCATACTCACACTGGGACTCTATAAGTTTCTCGACTGAATCTGCACGTAAATCGAGCCATATTCGTTCACAAAAGAGTCCCCATGTGAGTGAGTATCACCTAACGGCAGGACGACATGGACTGCCAAGAGAAACGACCAGGAAGACGGCGAAGGGCAGCAAACCGTCACGAACAACAGCGAGGAGGACGATAACTTTTTGGAATGAATCTGGCTCATATTGCAAGAAGATGCATCCAGGTGAGCAGCAGCAGGAGGACGTGGAGGAGCTTACCTGCAGTATGACTAATCACTTGGGAGGAAAGACGATTATTTTCGGACGACGGCCTACTGTCCACAAATAAAAAACGGTAAAATCCAGCGGCCTACTGTCCCGAAAGAAGGATGATTCTTGCTGACGTCAACCGATATGCATGACGGTTCGCGGGTCGGCGTGGGTGTTGACAACCGTTAAAGCTTTTTTTTTGCCCTTTTTTTTCCAAAAGACATATGCCATTTCTCGATTTATGCGTGTCATCCTTGCGCAGGGGCCATGCTAATCTTCATTCTCTGTATCGTTCCAATTTTGACGCATGTCCCGAAGGACATATTGTAAAGTGCGGACGTGTGTACTTTTTTTATTTTTTGGGAGGGGGCGCCTTTTGTCAGTATGTCCACTAGGTGGTCACTCGCCGATGAATGAGCATAAACTGTGGAGGTTTGCTTTGATGGCCATGCTCGACGTTCAATATATTGTGCAGATGGAGACAGGGCCTCACTCGCTGGCACTGCTCACTGCTCACCAAATGTGCATTTCGGTGAGTGCATCTTCAGCTATTACCGTTTTTATCGGAATAGGACGCCTGGTCATTATAACTGTATTTCGAGCAACTTTCAGTCCAGATGCGGCCATAATGAGCGGCCGTTCGATGCGGGTGACGACGGTAGATGTTAAAAAAAAACACACTCTCCATTCTTTTGTCTTTTTCACATTTGGAGAAATGGTGGGGTCAGTCTGATCGGCGGGTTGGGAGCGGGAGGGAGGGAAACAGGGTTTAGGGTTGACGGATCCGCAAGATCAGCAGCAGATCAGCGGAGTCCATAGGAGGAGCTTTAATTCAATAATGCCTGGTCAGTCCTTTCTCTCTCTGCCTCCTGTTGCTGCTGCTAGTTTTCTCTATTTTTTTTTCCAACTTTTCTCTGGTTTGCTATTCCTTCCCTCTTTTCTTGCCGTTTCTTTTTCGTTGTTCGGCCATACCCTTCTTCTGCTTCGGGATCGCTCTCCATCTGCCTCAGCGCTTTTCGAAATGAAAAGAAGAAACTGACAAGAATGAGAAGAGGGAAAAGGTCTAGAAATGAAGAGATGAAAATGACAAGAACGACAAGAGGGAAGGGGACCTGAATGAGGAGGACGAGGGAAAAAGAAGAAAGGGGAGGGGAGGAGAACGGGGAGAAGGGGAGATGAGGAGGGGGTGAGTCTGATCGGGGGGTTGGGAGCGGGAGGGAGGGAAAAGGGTTCAAGGTTGACGGATCAGCAAGATCAGCAGCAGATCAGCGGATTCCATAGGAGGAACTCTAATTCAATAATGATCGAAGAAGACTGTCCGACGATTTGGCGGGAGACTTTCTTGATTGATTGATTGATTGATTGATTGATTGATTGGTTGGTTGATTGGTTGATTGTTTATCTGGCGAACTATGTCAGCTCACCTCTTTGTTGTATCTTTTTTATCTGGCGAACTATGTCACCTCACCTGTCTGTTGTATATGTTTTATGCTTACCAGGGTAAGTAACCCGGCTGGAGCCTCTCCAGAATTAAAAAGGGGGATGTTGGTGTGTTGTAAAGGGAAAAAAAGGGCCACCAACAAGAAGAATCGCGGCAGCGGCGGGAAGAAGAGAAAGGAGGGAACTGGGGAAATAACGCGGGAGCTGATATCAACCAGAATAAGAATGATTGATTCTGATTGACGTAATCGGATAAGGGCGTACTCACATTAACACTGTTAAATGTATCTGAACGCATTTACGGCCGGACCTGTACGCATCTGGCCGCAATTCCGTCCAGAAATAGGTGAAAAAGTCCCAGTGTGAGTATGCCCTAAGAGACGTTGCTCTACAGATAGAACAGGCATGAAGTCAAAAAAAAAAAAAAAAGAGCAGAAAGGAGAGAAAAGAACGGGCGGTGCCTAAAGGGTAGCTGACATGTAGCCCTTCACAAAAGGGGTAAGCACCGTGTGTGTTGATTACCGAGGGTTAGAGGAAGCAAGGATTTATGTCCAGTTTAGGAGGGGAGAGTGGGCGGGGGGGAGGTATAGCCGGAGGCTGGGAATAGAGGAGGAGAAGGTAATTAGCTGAAGGGAGTAGGAGGAGTATGCGAGCGATTTGGCCTTTGGGGGGAGGGCTGGGGCAGAGGGCGACTGTAGTTTTCACTGGAAGGAGAAAGGTAAGAGTGAAAGAGAAGCGCGGAGTGACATGTTAAGCATCCATAGCCGTCGGGCCCCGGCGGTAGAGTACGTGTCATCCAGCCATCCATAGCCGTCAACGCGCCTTTCAAATCAGACCCTGTTTGAGGAGACACGCGAGAAGCTGAACAGCAAATTGACATAACTGTTGTCAATCTCTTCCCCCCCCTGCTCCCCCCGCCCCACCCTCTTCACTGGCTCTCCCTCCCTCCCTCTCTCTCTCTCTCTCTTTGTTTGTGACGTTGTGCATGTCTGTGAATCTCTCCCTCCCCTCTCTCACTCCGCCCCTCCCTCCCTCTCTCTCTCTGTTTGTGACGTTGTGCAGGCAGTTGATCAGATGTAGTTCTCGCACTTCCACAGGGGGAGGAGCGGAGCAGAAGATGTGCGGATTTGCACCTGGACGGATGACTCGTCAGGGTGCATTACAGGAGCCAGGAGTGGTAGAAGGAAGACCAAGTGCATAATTAAGCCGTCTCTGTGCTCGTCCGGCATCTCGCTGATGACACCAGCTAACTCTGTTTCGCGGCTCCGCCTTGTGCTCTTTGATTGAAAGGGCCGGAAAAGTGGATGGGAGTTTGAAAGGGCGGAAAGAGTGGATGGGAGTTTGAAAGGGCGGAAAAAGTGATGCGAGTTTGAAACGGGGGGAAGAGTGGATGGGAAAGAAGAAGTGTTTGTCTTCGGAAACGTAGGAGAAGGGCAGGGGACGTGCATGTGGTCATATTGGCCGTTCATGGTCATCTCTTGGAAGGGCGGAAAATCTTGGATGCAAAAATTCTCTGAAAAGTACGAGAAGAGGAGGGCGAAAAAACGAGAGGAGGTGTTGTCGACTCTGTCGGACAGTCTTTTCAAGCGCCCGCGCTACTAGTGGGCTATGGCAGGACATGGGTGATGATAATCCGCCGGAGGAAGGATTCCCCTGTCTTGCGCGACTGCTGGAAACAAGATCTGCTACCTTCCTTCTGATAGGAGCAAATAACAAAAGAAAAGAATACTACGGAATTAAAAAAAAAAAAAGAACGAAGTATCTTTGATGAAAAGTGACGAACAATCCTCCGAGTATAATTGAATAGGCATACATTCTCTCCTCGTCTCCCCATGGCCCTCCATTCCCACGCTTTCGGGTCCAGTTTCAGCTTAGAGACTGGTTTCCCGTTGGCTATGAGTACCATTCCTATCTGCCTCTCTTTTTGTACCATCGGTACCACACGTACCTGGGACAACGCACTACCCAGCCTGGGCTGCGTTTCTTCTTCTGTTGAGCACAGCAGTCCTGAAGCCGAGAAGTCCCATTTCTGAAATACTCTTATCCCGTCAGCCTGCGTCAGTTTCAACTCCCAGAGACTGGACTCTCCCTCTGTGCGGCTTTTCGGGTTTTGTAGACACCTTTGGTTAAATCTGGCTCAGAGAGGGGACTGCACGACAAGGTCCTGGAGGACCGGGATTGTCCTAGTTAAGGACTCCCCAACTGAAGCATAAGCTAAGCTGACTGATGCTGTCAGAAGATTTCTGTCCGGGTTGAATTGTGGGGTTCCCCGGCCCCGAACTGGTTTTCAAGAAATAACATGGCAGTGTCTTTCGGGGGCACGAGTGCAATCTGGCGGAGAGGGCGGACCGCCTCTGGTTACCAGGCAGAGGGTATGCGCGGGTCGCTCAAGGCCGAGCGAGCCATTGGTTTCGGGGACGGCGGTTTGCGGGCGGGTCCCTTCGGGGTAGGTGGGGTTCCGATGAGCCAGGCCGTCGGGAGTTGCCGCGCGGCGCCGGTCGTCGCGCGTTTGGGTTGGGCCTCCGGGCGCCGCATCGTCGGCAGTTTCCGCAGGGCGTATTGGGCCAGTACGGGGCTATGGCCGGCCACGGGACGACGCAGAGTTGGTGATACGGGAGAAAAAGGCGAAAGGGAGGGAAACTGGTGGAGATAACGACAAATCCGGGGTGGGTGAAGTAGTAGGTATGGTCCGGAGAGGGGAAATCAGAGCACCGGGGGGCGCTAGTGGTGGCACAGTGAAACTCCTGAGGACACAATCGGTTCTCGGTTAGGCAAGGGTATCTCTATCGCAGGACTTCGTTTATCCATAGGGTGAAGTAGTCCGGGTCGTATAACAACGACTCCAAGCTCTCTGAGCGTGCCATTGTATCATCGCAGAGTTATGAGTTGCCTAAGGGCGGGTTCGTGACGATTGCGAGCACGTGCAGGCCACGCGAATTAAGTCGGGCTTACTCGTGTTCGTGCGGGACGACTGCACCGTTGCGGATCCTTGATGGTCGCGTCCAATCAGACAGTGCTTCTGAATCGACGCACGTGGATACGTGTAAGTGCGCAACTCGGATCGCGTTTACACGTGTCCTCGCGCGGCGTTAGCTGAATCCGACATCCGATCGTCTAATCACTCCGTGCTGTTTTGAGCATGCAAGACGCAACGACCACGATCAGCTCAATTGAAAGACAACCAAAAACGAGAACAGGATTACCAATTGCGCAAAATTCCTATCCTACTCGCGAGTGCATCAAATGCAGAAAGCAAAAGACAAGGATCCGGTAGAAAGATAAGCAACCAATCATGGCATTCATTCATTCATTCATTCAGCAACATACACACAGTGCATCGGAGATTGGAATCGCGAAGAAAAGTGTGAGCAAAAACCCAAGTCAAAATTCCGAAAAACAGAAAACGGGCAGATCACCCGGAGCCGAAATCAAAATTTATGTACACAAGACAGGAGGGAGAAAAGATAAAAGAACAGCAAATCCGCGTCCATCAACCTCAACTACCTCTTCCTCTCTCTTCTTCTCCGATGCGGACAGTTCGTCTTCGCGCATCAACCCACGAAGCCGTCACCCCGCTTAATCCTCCCATACCCGTCAGGTTCGCCCTCGCCCACAGTCCGTCGTGGCCCGCGTCAACCCCGCGCGTTTGGCACCAGCTCGTCGGGTCGCCCGATTCCTGCTCTACTTACCTCTTACTTCGCTCGTATGTCGACCCTCTCTGATCGCGCAACCCTGAGCTTCAAATAGATGGTTAAGAGAGCTAACTAATCGTGCAACCGGAATTTATAGTGTGCATGCTTGCGCGAAGAACACGGAATTGCCAGGACTTAAGAGGGAGATTAAAGAGCGAGTGTCTGCGTTCTGCATGACCGGGCCGCGGCGTGGGGGACGTAGCCACTCTCCACGCATCGATCCGAGCATGCAGTCTGTGGCTACAAAAACGCAGCAAAAGAAAGAGAAGGAGGATGGGAAAGACGAAGCGCAAGAAGAAAGATATAGTTACAATGGTGCCAGCCCAAAATTACGGTTACACACTCGATTAAAGGCACCGACTAATCAGAATTCTGTTGCAGCCGCATAAAACAGCGCGTGAGCCAAAAAGTGTCGCGCGGCAAAAGAAAATCCTAATTACAAAATTCATAAATTTCTAACTAATGCGGAAAAGCAAAAAGCACAAGCTCCAGAAGGAAAGTTTGAAATTCCGAGAGCCATTGGGGCTCAACAAAATTCGAAAACGAATTCAAAAAAAAAATTCAAAAGAGAACGAAGCAAATTCCCGCGCGATGTCCGCGCCCAAATTCCCAAATCGAACAAAAGAAACGACGTCAACATTTATTAATCACGCGCTTGGCGGCGCGCCCGCCATTCGACCGACCAATCAACCGATCGTCCCGGGACTCACCCCGTCCTGAACCCAATCATCCAGAAATAATCGACGCAAAAGACGAAGAAGCGAGGGTACTGATGCAATTTCCCATCCATCCCAATCTCCCGTAATTGGCCCAACCTTCCCAACTTAGGACCCCTCATTGCCACCGCGCAGAAAGTCGCGCGCTACAGAAAGTGGTTCGTCACAACTTGCTCTCCCCTCGACATGAAACCCAAAGGTGGCACTTCTCCCCTGTTCTTTCTCCTATGTCGTCCTCTTTCAACCCTCTTCCGCCCGCTGATTATAGCCCCCGTGTTTTCCTCCGGTGACTTAGAATTTCACCCTACCAAGGGGCCTACCTGTACGTAGCTCAGTTAGTACATCCATGAACTCTTGAGATGCAGACAACACACTCTCTCCGGGGCTCTAATGACAGTACCCATCTGGGTCGATACCCGAAATATACTTGGAATCTGGATTGGATCTAGAGGAAAGCCCCTGACAACGCCTCCCCTTCTTATTTTTTTTTAGGGTCCACTTCCACCTGACAACCGCTCATTCCGTTTTCCAAAAGTCCCTGTTCTATGAGAGCTAGCTGTAGGTCGTCTGCAACACCGCAAGGGACTGGTCCCCCAAAAACTTTTGCCCCTTAAGAACCCACTTGTGTCCTGGTTGCCCACGACCGAAAATGCGACACCTTGACACAGAGTCACAGACGTTAAAGCCCACTATACCGCAACCTGAACATGGGGGGGGAGGGGGTATGGGGTATGGGGGGCGGAGCCACCCCTCCCCCACACTTAAACATGACTTTTTTTTTTTTTTTTTCCCCAAGGCTCCATCTATTGGTGGGGAGCTACACCTGCTGGAAATCGGGTCCAGCATCCTTGTAAAATGATGCGAATGTATGTGCTAGATATCGGGTCCTGTGTTAAGAAAAGGCAAGTTTTATACCAAAACCCGAAGCCAGGCCTATGTCAGGGCCACTGCACCACAACAACTTGGCAGTGCCAACCATAACATTTCTTAGCCTCAGACATCACCTAAGTAAAGTCCCTGACCTTGGCTGCGCCACCGCGCTTGGCGTGGTCTAACAGTGGGACCTGGCCCGGGGGGGGGGGG